GCATTAGCTGTAGCTGATGCTCTTGAGAAGGCTCGATATTTTGTACTTGGATGTGAAAACCTAGTGATAGCAGTGGATCATAAACCGCTGTTGAAACTATTTGGGGATAGGTCTCTAGAAGACATCCCTAATGCTCGACTCTGCAACCTGAAATAAAAGATGCTTCGATACAAGTTCAAGATGCTACATGCACCAGGTGCCAAGAACCGAGCACCAGATGCCATTTTGCGTAACCCGACTGGAGATGCAGAACCAATGGTACTCACTGATGACATCTCATCAGTATCCCTGAACAATGAATCTTACCTGTACTTATCAGTTGCTCATTCAATTGAAAACTTGAAATGTGTAACATGGGACAAAGTGCGCACAGCTACCTCGAGCGACGAATCTATGCACCAACTAGTGGAGATTATAGAAACGAGTGTTCCTGCCGCTCGTACTGACTTTCCGTCTTCCCTACAAGATTTCTTCCTGTTTAGAGACCATTTGTCCACAGTTGACGGTGTCGCTATCTACAAAGACCGACTGGTGATCCCACCTTCCCTACGACAGGATATACTTACCTCCCTTCATTCCGCTCACCAAGGGGTAACATCAATGGCATCTAGGGATGAACAGTCTGTCTTCTGGCCAGGAATAACTGCTGACATCACGAGTATAAGGAATAATTGCTCACATTGTAATCGTATGGCACCTTCTCAGCCCAATCCTCCTCCAACACCACTTGTATACGCTCAATACCCGTTTCAATGTATATCTGCTGACTTCTTTCATTACAAGGGTGTAAATTACCTTGTGATAGTGGACAGGTATTCAAACTGGCCCATCGTAGAAAGATCTACCAATGGTTCAACGGGTCTAATAAACAGTTTGCGAAAAACATTCGTTACTTTTGGAATTCCAGATGAACTTGCCTCAGATGGGGGCCCAGAGTTCACTTCGACTGCGACACAAGATTTCTTGAAAACTTGGGGTATACACCACAAACTCTCTTCCGTGGCATTCCCACACAGTAACTGTAGAGCAGAGGTTGGTGTCAAAATGATAAAGCGCATGATCACTGACAACACCGGCCCGAAAGGTGAACTTAACACTGATGCCTTCCAGCA